AATTTGTGAGCATTATAGACGGTTTGATGAGTGGTTGAATTAATCTATCTAATCTTGCTAAGCTGGCAGTCAGATATATTTGATTTGGGTTCCAGAATGAGTTATCTTTGGAAATTTATAGGCTTCGACTAAATTGCTGGGTATTTGACCATACGATTGGGATCGATTTAGTACCAAATAAAGTTTTTAAATTAATATCGTCCTAAACATATCGACTGCTTATGCTTAAGCCGAGACCCACTTAGACGTAGGGGTTTACCTGTAAAGATATTTTTATATGTCAGCTAAACTATATGTGTAATACCTCAACTACCCTTTCATGTATTTACGTTATTGCCAGAAAATTTATTACATCGGGACTCCGCACATAGAGCTTCGTGCGGAGTCCAATAAAATTACGACATGTGGAGGTACATAAAAAAAAATCGACCCAATAACAGAAGGGAATATTCCCCGTGTTGTTCAGTGTTATTCAAGTGTTATTGTATGTTATTCGGGTGTTATTGTGTTCTGAGAATATTTTCGGTATTATCATAACACAATAACACATCAATAAAACTTGAATAACACACAATAACACTTGAAAAACACACAATAACAACTGAATAACACTGAAGGAATATTCTCTTATATTACCAGACAGAGTATTAACGGACAGATCTTATTTTTTCCTGTCACCGTCACGCGACTTGATTTCATTGGACTCCGCACGTAGTGGGGAGTCCTGATGCAATATTTTCTCTTATTGATATTACCAGACAGATCTTATTTTTTCCTGTCACCGCCACGCGATGTGATTTCATTGGACTCCGCACATAGTGGGGAGTCCTGATGCAATATTTTCTCTTATTGCCATGCCCTGACTTATAAATAAGCACGATAAATATGTATTATGCATATATAAAAAATAAAGACTGTTTTAACTTAGCTTTCTTCAGGCTTCATCTCTGCTCTCCTCTCCCACTCTATCCTCTATTTCATTCCTTTTAATTCTATGATTTTGCAATGGTTTAGATGGCATTTGACTACTATAATAATACAAGCTATTGCATGTAGATTCAATTTAGTTAATTGACATTTTGGGGCATTTACATGCAAACCACATAATGCCCATGTATTTACATGTCTAGCACCTAATTATTCATAAATCACTCAAACTTTTAGAAAAACATCAAACATATCTTTCATGCATAAATTTAGGACACCAAAGTGTGATAAATCTAAGTATCAAATTTTAATTGTTAGATATGTAAATATATAAATATTGTGCGGTATGTATGTAAATTTCCCTTGATATTATTACAAATTTACAATCAAAACCCTAAGCCTGAAAACAATTAAAAAAAAAAAGTGCACTGATATAAAGGCAGTAAAATACAAAACAACTGTATAAAAAAAAAACAAACCTACAAGCGCCAACTTTTAACAACGGGTAAAAGTAGACAGACCTATATGGTAATTAGTAAACGTACTATCTTTTCATGACCATGTGCTGTACTCGCAATAAGTAGCCAGTCTGTGACAGGCTCATGCCTCTGCCATAAGCTTAGAAAAACCTTCATGGAGCCGAGAACTCCGCCTCACTCCCCAAGACTTTCTAAAGTCTCCCACCCGCCCAATGTGCCAACCCAGCGCAGCCCCTGTTACGTTCTTCATAATTAAAGCATGGAAAACAGAAAGAGAAGGTTATTTCATTTCATCTCTCAAAAATCTAATCTTCAGAAGGGATGAGATTTTTAGCTTTTCACAGCAGATTTTATCCCATCAATTGCTTCAGATGACCCAAGTACAGAGCTTCTCTTCACAAACAAAGTAGGTTTTGTACGTTGTATTGTCTTTAACCTATCAACTAAGTTCATAGCCCACCTTCTTTTTCACTTCTTTTAAGGCTCTCACTCTCCCTTTTTCTTCAAGCTCGCCAAAGTTCCAACTTTATTGCTGTGAGCCAATGGACGCTACAGTGTTGCCTGATAGGAGGTGCAGGGAGATATTTGAAGAGAACGCATGGGTATCTCGCTGCTGTACCACTGGCCATTATCTTCGTCTGCAATCAGAATTTAAAGCAGAACAGTACTTGGTCGTCGGAGATGAGATCCGGCCCATTTTAGTTTGTGACGCATCGAAATTTTGAAATTCAAATGAAATTATGCAGATTACGCAACCATGTGAAGATTTTTAGTATAATTATAATAGCTAGGCATCAATCACAGTTATTAAGCATGCTTCGTCTGGGTTAGATAGCATTATTTAATCTGTTGGAGTTGCGTTTGGCTCTTGATTATTATTTTTTTAAATCAATTTCTAAACTTAAAAAATTATAACCATTTTTTTTCCTAAGCATTTTAGCATGTGACAAAATACTGTTTTTCACCATATAAATTTCTAAGCTATAGTAAAAAAGCAGTTCCCCGGAGAGAACAAAGATGATGATATGAAATGCAAGGTAATCATAAAGCTATCCGAAATAGACCTTAAATGTCATGTTTATAGCCGGCCCTACAAAAAAGATGTTTTAAAACATGAACTAATCTTTTTTTTTCGGTAATCTATACATTACAAATCACCTAGTAGAATCATGACTGGCATAATATAAAAATATGGCTATATACTAGCTACTTATTTACATATATAAACTGTGACTCTGCTCTAATCTCAATGGTTCCTTCCTCTTCACTATAAACCCTCTTTACTGTATTCCTCAAAAATGACTGGCATAATATAAAAATCTGGCTATATACTAGCTACTTATTTACATATGTAAACTGTGGCTCTGCTCTAATCTCAATGGTTCCTTCTTCTTCACTATAAACCCTCTTTACTGTATTCCTCAAAAAGCCGAGTTACCGACCTTCTCGCTTAAGAAAAAAACAAAGTCGAAAGAAGCATGGATCATATTGTTTGCTTTAAGAAGGCAATGAGCGGCAATCGTCAAAAATTGCCGGCGTACTTTGAATCAAAGCACAAACGTCTTATTCGGTTGATACATTTGCAAACTTTGATTGAAGAAAAAGAAGAAGAAAGTGGTGAAGAGAAGGAGACTTTGAATTTTTTGCTCTTACTTTGCGACTTGTGAGCATATCTAAAAGAGAGAATCCCAAAAATAACATTTTGACCATTGATTTGTAAGCTTTTGCTTGTTACACGAATGCAAAATGAAAATTTTATAGGGAATAATAAGGAAAATGATTGGATAATAACTACAATGAATACACATGAATAACTTCTAAGGTGAGTGAGAGTTATTGTGGATTGAGCGGATAAATTTGTGATCCTTTGGAAGGAAATGCCTGCCTCATCATTAATGAACTAATATGAATTAGCATGGGACGGAAATAACACTATTTTTTAAGGCGAGCAAACTCATTAAATATTTAAATATTATGCAAGAAAATAAACCTAAACTAAATTAAAAAAATTAAACTTGAATTTTATCTTCTAATTCACGTTACTTGTTTCAATACATGACCTTTTAATAGTTCTTAGAATTTAATGTTCTAATTCACGTTAATTTTTTTAATATATGACCTTTTACTAGTTCTATATATGACCATTGTAAATCTCCTATAATTAACTTTTACTGCCCTGGTTTTGGTTGATGCAAGTTACACTGGGATCATCTGTTTGGGACAGCTGCAGCTTATTGAATAATCTGCTGATAACCTGTTGAAAATAATCTGCTAATAAGCTTGGTGTAGTGACTATTACAAATTTTATTTTTTTGGAAAAGCCAGGCGGCTGCTAAAACCAGCCACCGCACCTATCTGAGTGCGGTGCGAAAACACTGCTTTCAACGTTTTCAAAACATATAAGCTGACAAAATGCAGTTTACCCAAACAGGCCATTTGTATTTTCAAAATGCAAACTGCACCAAATAAGCTGCCCTAAACGGATGAGGGGTGGATTTGAAGCATGATGATTATGATTAAACTGACTCATGGTTAATTACAATAATAGTTTGGTTAAAATAATTTCAATGATATGTATTTATAAATTTTCGATTGTTCTTTGAGTTGATAGCATATTTTTGGAAGTAAAATACAGAAGTATGAATAATTAATGATGTATTTAAAATTTTATTATGATATTTGAAGAAATAATTTGTTTCCTTGTTAAAAATTGAAATAGGTACAAATTTAATAGCATATAAATAAGTTCTCATTTAAACCATAAATATTGTGAAAGTGAACCAATTTCGTGATTATATAATCTCTAACTTTCATCTCATCTTGAAATGAAGAGAAAAACGGCTTAGAAATTAATTAATTTAATTACATTGCAATCTTCAAGAATTATGATATTCAAGCAAATACGAGGTTGCGGCTAGGATTTAACCCAGCAAGCTTTCTGAAAAGTTATTAATATATCCCCGAATTTGACTAATTTTTGGTAAAATTTCTAGCTATCTTCAAAATCAAGGATGTATATAAATACGATATTTAACAACAAAATTGACAATAATATGGGATGTGAATGTGAGAATGTAGCTTCAAATCTATAAAAAAAATATAATTAATCAAGATATTATTAAAAATAATTAAGGCAATTGATTTAAACCAGACCAATTAGTGCTTGATTGAAATAACTTGTTAAATGATTATACTTTAGCTAACTAACGGCCACGATCAAGGATCTAACCAAAGTTATTAAAAATAATACTTTTTAACCAAACATATCTAACCTAAAAAACTGCAGCTTGGAGTCATCGCAGGCGATCAGCAGCTGGATATCGAGGCCGCCGAGCACGATGGCGACGACCACGTTGATTTTAAGTCATATCTTAGTTAAATCTTGCAACCTAACAACCCCACCACAGTACCAATCCTCCCTTCCTACTCAATTTGATTTTGCTTGAAACAAATTTACTACTATTTCTAGATAATAAAATACAACAATTCCGAAAAAAAGGATCCAGCAACCCACGACTTTGTTTGAGACAAATTTTGTATCAGCACTTGGAGCCCAACTCTGTGCAGAAGATAAAAAAAAAAAAGGATGCTCCGACTAAAAAAACAGCAAAAGATTTTAGAAAAAGGTTAGGAAAAATCTACAAGCACCGATCTTAACAAAAAAGGGGAGAAAGACTGATGAAGATTTCAAGAGCCAGAGAGATGGAAAACGGTTCCAGAGAAGAATATAAACCATCGAAATCGATCCAGAAGCTTCATATCAGTATGGCTGATGCGGCGGTCGGCCTCCAGGTGGCCATATAATCTCCTGAGCAAAGTGCGAGCCATACATCGCCGCCATTCCGCCCGACTCTGCCGCAGGTTGCGGCGGCGACGGGGGAGCGACTGCTGTAGATGAAAATGGTGAAAGAAGTTCTGCTGCTCTTCGTCATGATATTGCCTCTGGGCCGCCACTTCGCCCGTTGCGTCTTCCCCGGAAACCGATACCGACGCCTCTTCTTCCAACGGCAGCCGATGAAAAGTCGTGTTCGCAAACGCAGCCGCCACCACCATCACCACCCCAGAAGCCAACAACGGCCCCGCCACCGTACCGCCAATAACTTGCCCGTGCGGCCCCGCAAGCGATAACGTCATCACAGCGCTAACCGCAGCGGCCGGCGAAAGCGCGGCCATCTCCGGCGGCATAAAAGTGGCCGAAATGGACAGGATCTCGAATCGCCCGTGGAATACGATAGCTGCCTCAGCACCTGCCTGCTGTATCGTGACGTTGACCGCGGCGCCGGTCGCGGCAAGAACGCAGATTCCGAGTTTACGGTGTCGAGAAAATCGCGTTAGGGAGTCAATAATATCGTGGCCGCTGGGGATTTCGAGCACGTACGGGCGCATCGCGGCCGACGGCTCCGACTCCTTTGTGATAACTACCGGCGGCTTGGGTCTGTTTTTGGAGCCCGGGGGTCTGCCACGTGGGCGCTTCACGATCTCGATGCTCGCGCCGTCGCTTAACTGCGGTGGCGGAGGGGGAGGCAGTGGTTGCTGCGGCGGCTTTCTTTCTTTTCTCTCCCCGTCTTTCCTTCTTTTAGCTATGCCCTGGAGACTGTCCACCTCATCGGAGAAGGGCTCTGGTTTCATGATGTCGAGGCTGTTTAAGATCATGAATGGAAGTATTTTGATGAATGAAAAATAGCTGTGTTGCTTAGTTTCGAGAACAAGGAAAGGATTTGGTGAGGAGACGGGAAAGAGAAGGATTGGGAGGGGTGAGGTTGGAGAGGGAAGAAATTAAAGATAAGAGTTGATGGTTACAGAAGCTGCTGCTTTTATTTCTACGCACCGCTTTTTTGGTGGTCGGGGAGGGGAGGGGAGGGGAGAGAGAGAGAGAGAGGATTCTATATGCTTGTCGGCTGAGGTGCGGAGTACACTTACGTGAATGGGTTGAGTTTAGTTTTATTCCCGGCTAATTCGTTATGCATTAAATTAAATATTGTTAAATTTAAAATTTCGGTTGGAAAAAAGTGATTCGAATGATTTTATTTGTGACGATTATAGACAAATAAATAATTATCCAAATCAATGATTATAAATTGTAATTAAACATGTGGGAAGTTGATACTTATGATAATTTTTTTTGTGATCTTGATATTTTGAGAATTATAAATATGAATATGAAAAATTTGGCACTTAGATTTGTAAGTTGTTTATAAATAAAAAGTCAACATAGGGAATAAGCCTAAGGGCTATTGATAGCCCATCTCGTCGGGTTGACATACCAAACTCAACTGACTTGTATCAGGTTGGGTATTGTCGAATTGACTAGTCAAGTGTCCAATATCAGATACCAACTGCGAATGAGGAAGGACGGAGTATACGCCCGACAACACTGAACTTCAGGCCCTTCATTCTCTACATCACACCAATATGACGGAAGTATACACCCGACAACACTGAACTTTAGGCCCTTCATTCTCTACATCACACCAATATGACGGCGTTAGACTGCATTGACAAAAATTATATTGTACTAAATCTAACTAATATTGTCTCATTGTAAACTAGTTTGAGAGATATCATATCTAGCCCTTTATATAATTAGAAATGATCTCCTGCACTTTGGGGGATCCAATCTGAGATATCTCTGTTTCTCTTTTTCCTTGTTCACACAGAAAGAGTGTACATTCCATTCCTCTTTGCTTCTTCTGTGAGTCTTACCCACATTATACATATGAGCCCACATGAAATCCGACGTTCAAAATAAGCATATAAGAAATGTGTTTGTATGTATGTAAACGCCCCTAAAGATTTGATGCTTCGCATTACTCGCAAAAAAAAAATGCTAACTCATAGTATTAATGCAACACTTCGAATTCTAGGGAAAACAAATATACAAGTAATAAATTTATATATATTGTTGTGCATTGAAAGATTCGTGACAATAAAGTGATAGTTTAATGTCTCGGTGTTATGGTATTATATGAAGATTCATCACACACACATATAATAGATAATTAGCAGGAGGAGACACCATGATTTTTTATGTGACAAAACTTTGGAAACGAAAAAAATCACGAGGTCTAGCCTAGTCATAGTAATATTCTATGTGATTGTTAGTACATAGACCCACTTTTGTCCTGAATCAGGGAAGATAGAATTATAAAGTTGATAATCACAAATGTGTAATAGTAATTTAGGTTTAATAGTAATAATTGGGTTACAACAAATGTATTTCTTGGCAATCAAAGGTGATTAAGGGTTGCAAATGTTGTAGTTTGACTGTTACAAAAAGATTGATTTGCCACCATAACTTTAATCAGTGGCTATAATTGTGTTAGCTCGCCATAGAGACTGTAGATATTAGCTATGGTAGTGTTAGTTGGGTCATAGAGGTCATCATTGGAAGCTACAATATTAGTGTGTTTTGTAGGACATAGCTGGTTACATAGGCCATAGTAAGGACCAATAATAGTATTAGTTTGCCACAAATGTTATAGTTGGAAGCAACAGTAAAAATTAGCCACAATAGATCTAGTGGAAAGTAGTTTGCCATAAATATCGTATTTGCAAGCAGCAGTATAAATTAGCCACAATGGATGTTGTGGAAAGTTGTAATGATAACATTTAATCATGTAAGCCAAAATGAGGAGTTGTAGTAGCATTGGTTGACCATCAAAGCCGTAGTGAGGAGCTGTAGTAGTAATTAGCCATGTAGGTTGTAGTGAGAAGCTATGGTAGTACTGTCCACATAGGTCATAGTAGATCATTGCAAGAGCTTCAGTTGGCCACAAAAGCTATAATCAAAGGTTGTTATGACAGCAGTTAGCCATGCAGGCCATAAATGCAGGCCATAATAGGGGGTTGCAATAATAATCAACCACGTAGAACAAAGTAGGATGCTACAATAATAGCTCACCACATAGGCCATAGTGGGTTGTTGCAAAAGTGTTAGTTGGTCACAAAGGTTGTAGGGGAAGGTTGTTATGACAACAATTAACGACATAAGCTATAGTTAGGAGTTGTAGTAGTGATTAACCATTTGGCATTTCCCAGCATTCTTTAGATCCCTTAGCTAAGTTGCAAAATCCTAATGAGAATATGTCTATTTCACTAGGTTCTTGTGGTTAACTTATTTAGTCCACTACACAATGGGCAAGAACCATAATTCAAAAAAAATTTTAGCATCCAAATTGGTTAGATCACGAGTGAAAGAAGATCAGAAGGTTAACTTAATAACTTGAAGAAATTAAAACTCAAGAAATATTTATTGGGAAAACATGGAAGAAAATCACAAAAAAATCACTATCCTCACATCACATTTGACAAAAAAGAGAATTAGCTACTATTGACGAAAGGAATCAATGCAAGGAAATCCATTGAAACCAATGATACAAGTAGCAATACAAAAAAATAGTTTACAACCAAGGTTTTCCTCTTCACAAAAGCAGCTAGTCCCTCTCTTATACAAGCCTCTCAAAGAAAACAAAGAAAAATCCCCTAACAACTTTCTCGTTCAAGTAAGAAGAAGAAGAACTTCTTGGGCACTCCAAGAACCTCTTCTCTACAACGAACCCTAACCCTTAGCAATCTAAAGAAATCTCTCACTGTTCCAAGTAATATATTTGATAATGGTGGCACCACAAATACAAGAAAATTCCTTTCAATTTTGAGTTTTGCGATGGGCACTACTGCACTAGGGTTGGACATGTCGTTCTTCTACGAGTAGGGCATGGGTGCACGACCATGCAGATGCAGGGGAGCTGCTATGTGGGCACGAGGATGCAGCTCTTAGATTTATATGACAACGCAGTTGATTTACCCATCAGGCACATGGGCACAAGATTCTAGCACGGTTGCACTATAATTTTGCTGTGGGTGTGTCGTGTTCGCTATCTCATGCATCGACACCATTTGGGTTTGATGCAGACGGGTTCTGAGGCAGCGCGAGTACGCTCCTCAAGGCCCATCACAGGTAGGGTTGTCAATTTGGCTTGTTGTTCGCTAACAGCTTGTGTTCGGCTCGTTAAGCAGCCCGTGTTTGGCTCGTTCGTTAAGCTTAACGAGTCGAACACAAATAAATTTTTAAGCTCGAAATATAAACGAGCCGAACACGATCAAATATTTGTTCGCTCGTGTTCGGCTCGAATTGACTCGAAAAGAAATAAATAAATAAATACACACACGCACACA